AGATTGAGGTTTGAAGCCAGTCCAGGCAGGAAAATCTACGAGACTCCTATCTACAATTAATCACAGGAAAAGCTGGAAGTGGCACCGTGGCTTAACTGGTAGATTGCTAACCTTTAGCAAAAAGGAACTAGGGACAGAAGACAGGCCCAGAGTTCAAGTCACAGAACTGGCACAAAAAAAAAAGATCATCTTAATAGATGTAGCAAAGCATTAGAGTTAAGCATTTGTTTATAATTCAAACTCTCAGCAAAATAGGGGCAGAACGAAACTTCATATAAACAAAATCTGTCATAATGTCATACTTAGATGAAGGGCTAAATGCTTTCCTTTTGGAGTTGGGAACAGACAAAGATAATAATTTCATTATAATAAAAAATATTACTAGAGGGGCTGGGAAGATGGCTCTGTGGTAGAGCGCTTGCCTTGCATGCCAGAGGTCCTGGGTTCGATTCCTCAGCACCACATAAGCATTAAGAAAAAAGCCAGAAGTGGCGCTGTGGCTCAAGTGGTAGAACGCTAGCCTTGAGCTGAAGAGCTGAGGGACAGCGCCCAGGCCCAGAGTTCAGGCCCCACAACCGGACCCCCAAAAAAAAAAAATATTACTAGAGACCCCAGTCAGTGCAATAAGGTAAGAAAAACAAAAGAAATACAAATGAGAATTATGCTAAGTGAAACAATTCAGTTTCAAAGAATATACAGTATTATTCCATTGATAACAAAATTCTAGGTAGTGCAAATGATTCTACAGTGACAGGAATCAGATCAGCGGTTACATAGGCAATGAGGGGAAAGATTATAAAGAAGCACATAAAATCCTTTAAGAATGATAGATACATTTATTGTTCTGACTGTGGTTATATTCTCATAGGCATATTCATGTATACCGACATATCTATCTCATCTGTACTCTTTAAAAATGTTTATTGCTAGGCACTGGTGGCTCACACCTCTAATCCTAGCTACTCAAGAGGATGAGATCTGAGGATCAGAGTTCAAAGACAGCTAGTCCTGGAAAGTTCCTGAGACTATTATATTCAATTAACCCCCCAAAAAGCCAGAAGTGGAGTTGTGACTCAAGTGGTAGAGTGCTAGCCTTGATAGGATAAAGCTCAGTAACAGTGCCCAGGCCCTGAGTTCAAGCCCAGGACCAGAACAAAAAATATTTATTATCTCAATGATGTTTCATAGAACAGAGAAAAGAGAAACTTAAAAGACACTTTAAAAATTTTTAAAGGAGTGAAATGTATATATGGAAGTTGTGCTTGCTTTCGATGAAAATGCAGCATTCTAAGCAGATTGTGGAGAGTACAAAAGTGTTAATAGGAAAGTATGCTGTTAAGATTGCCAGATTTAGATCAACTGGAATTTCAGATAATGAAATAACTGGTTAGTATAAACATACCTTAAATTACTAGATGAAATACACCATAGTAAAAGAAATTGCTGTTTTTCTGAGATATACATCAAATTCATTGTTCATTGTTTACCTGAAATCTGAATTTTTCTCTGCCATCTTAGATATCTTATCTACACAGTAAGAAATCCAACTTCTAAAAAAAAGTCAGATGCTTGAATTCTGTTTATTTCACCTTAGATAAAGCTGAACTCCAGGAGCTGGGACGGTGGCTTAATGGTAGAGTGCTTGCCTCGTATGCATGAGGCCCTGAGTTCAATTCCTCAGCACCAAATAAGTAGAAAAAGCTGGAAATGGAGCTGTGGCTCAAGTAGTCGAGTGTTGGCCTTAGCTAAAGAGCTCAGGGACAGCGCCCAGGTCCCAGAGTTCAGGCCCCACAACCAACAACAACAACAAGCTGAATTCCAGCAATAGATGCCCATTGTCCAGCCTTATTCATATAGCTGCTCAGAAAATATTTTGCTTGTCAAGCTGTATGAAAATAGGAACTACATCCATTTGTGCTTAGTGTTGTGTGTCCCGTCCCCCCCCCCCCCGCCCCCCCCCAGGCCTAAATTATAAAACCCAGTGATCAATGAATATATGATTAAATAAACTATTATGGCCTAGAAATTTTCAAGGTTACCTTTCTGACTCCAGCCTATGCAGCTGGTGAACCAACTTACTGGTCAGGTTCTGCTTCTGATTTCTTAATTTGTCTTTTTTTTTTTTTGGGGGGGGGGGGGTGGTCCGGTCGTGGGGCCTGAACTCTGGACCTGGGCACTGTCCCTCAGCTCTTCAACTCAAGGCTAGTGCTCTACCTCTTGAGGCACAGCACCACTTCTGGCTTTTTTCTTTTTGCTTATGTGGTGCTGAAGAATCGAACCCAGGGCCTCATGCATGCAAGGCAAGCGCTCTACCACTGAGCCACCTTCCCAGCTCATTGTCTTCATTTTTGCTGTATTTCTCTGGTCCCTATTTTGTTTTGTTTTGTTGTGTGTGTGATCCATAATGCCTTTCTCTAGTAATCTTGCTTTTCTCTTAGTAATCTGAGTGACTGTTCTGAGACTCTGAGACCCTTAATCCTTGGGGGCACTTGAAACAGCTAATTACAATATCAAGAGTTACTGGGGCTGGGAAGATGGCTCAGTGGTACAGTGCTTGCCTTGCATGCATGAAGCCCTGGGTTCAATTCCTCAGCACCACATAAGCAGAAAAAGCCGGAAGTGGCGCTGTGGCTCAAGTGGTAGGTAGAGTGCTAGCCTTGAGCTGAAGAGGTGAGGGACAGTGCCCAGGCTCAGAGCTCAGGCCCCACTACTAACCCACACCCCAAAAAAAGAGTTACTATATAAATATTAAGGCATGTCCTTTAGAACTAAGGAGATTTGAGACAGGACTTCAGTTTTGAGGGAAAAAAAAACAGGTTATAGGGAATCTTTATTATATTGGTGATAAGGAAGATTTTATGCATTTGGGGGTTTTGTTATCTGTCCTATAAATAAAGTACAAAACTTCCAAACTCATGCATACTTACAAAACCTAAATACATTAACTTTCTATAAGATTAGGGAATTAATCTAAATTTCCTTTGTAGATTATTTCTACAAATGAGCAGAGATTGTAGAAGTTATTTCTAGTAGGAGAAGGCTTACAATATTTTAGAACTGTAAGGAGCTAAGAAAATACAGTGTAAACTGTTCTTGGTATCATTACTACTGTATTGTTTTGAAGTAAGTATAAGGTTCAGATAGTATTACAAGATCACATAATGCATGATAAAGGAATTACTCAGTTAAATCCAGGTTGCCTATCAACTTTTATCTCTATGACCTAGTTTCCCTAATTGTTAGAAGTCCAGAGAAGGGTAGAGGCTACAGGGTGGAGTAATAAAATCAAACACCTGTGCCAAACACATACATGCTATTCTCCTTGACTTGCTACATATCATTTTGGGGATCTTTTTTTTAAGACATGGTCTTGCTATGTAACCCCAACTGGGATCCCCTTGCCTCAGCCTCCCAGATACTAAGATGACAAGTGTGTACCCCTGTGCCTAGTTCTCTTGCTTCCCTCATGAGTCCTAGGCTGACTCACTATGTGGTTATATATTTGTCAGGAGGAAGAAAAATAACTTGACCTTTGAGAGGAAGAAATTACAGTATTTCCAAAAGCCTAATAGAATAACACTTTCCTCAGGACATGGAAAGTGGGAGATGGAACTTAGCTGGGGTTTTGTTAATAACAATTAGAAAATAAGTTATTCATTAATGCAATGTGCATAATAGGTATTTTAAGACATGGGATCCTCCCCAAGCAAAAAATAGTAAAATGTGTCACAAGTATTGGAAAACCCCATAGCATTGTGACATGACTTAATTAAATATAGGCAACTGTGGTTTTGAGATACTTTAGGTCACCACAAAGCTCTGGCTCATTTCTTCGCTAAAGCAATTTTAGGAAGTAGAAAAGTGGCACAGATTTGTAGGTAGACAGAATGCCTATCCCTTTTTTGTTTTTCTTTAGATGGAAATGTTTCAGCCAGCTTATATGAAGATGAACGAATCTAAATGTTTTCTTCTCTCAAGAGTGTTGTGGGAGAAGAATGAGGCAGGGACAATGGAGATCATCACATTTTGTAAATGGTGGTGGTGGGGGAGCCATTAAGAAGGAGTTCATCAAATATTAAGTTTTCTTACAAGGATTAGAGTGAGAGAAACCATCTTCCTTATCAATTCCCAACGCCAATGAATTAGAGAAAAAAAAATGCAGCTAAATAAGCAGAGGTACTTACCCTCTCAAGGGAAGATGAGGTCTTATTAAGGTGGCAAGTATCGTGCCAAATGTTTAGAGAATGCCGATTGAGAGAGATGGTGCGGATATGGCAAACGTGAGGATTTACTTTTATTGTTAACGTGACGCAAGAATTGCCACTGCAGCCTTTGCGTTCTTTGGACGTGGCAGCTCAGCAGGCTGCAGGTGGAGGAGCGTATGGGGGAAAGGGGAGCGGGGACGCAGTACTGCAGTCCACACTGGCTGGGGGCTGTCGTGCGGGGCTGCATTGCGGTGCAACGTGCACCGGAGCCGAGAAGGTTTTGGTGCAGGAGGAGGGACCCGAGGCCCACAGAGGATCAAGCTGTCATTTTTTAAAAAATATGATTTTATTGTTATTACTAATGTGTTGTATAGAGGGGTTACTTATGCGTCAGGTAATGAGTACATTTCTCTTTGGACAATGTCACCCCTTCCTTGGTGTTTCCCCTAGTTTCCACCTCCCGTCCCTGCCCACAAGTTGCACAGTTCATTTTCTACAGTGGCTACTAAGTCTCCTGATTTCTCCTGTTCACCCTCAAGCTGTCATTTTAAGACCCTGTGTTATTGAGGTGCTCAGGGTGTAGCCGAAAGTCAGCGGAACAGCTGCACCAGTGTCCTGGCTGGGCGCCCGGACCAACTGATTCAGTGCTGCTCCGAGACCCGCTAGCAAGGGCCAGGAGAAGCGGTGGTCCGCCTGGGCCTCTCTGGCCTTCGGCTCGTCTCGGTAGCCCTCCGCCCCGCCCCTCCTCGCCCCGCCCGCAGCCGGGTGGGAGGGCAAGGACGCCGTCACTGCGCGTGCGTGCTCGGCAGTGCGGCCAGTCTGCGTGCGTGAGTGGGAGGTGGCAGGCCTCTGACTCCGGCCTTCCCTGCTGCCCGTTCCTGCGCGACGTTTACAGCCATGAACCGGTTCGGAACCCGGTTAGTGGGAGCCGCGACAACCCAGTCACCGCCGCCGAAAGCCCGCAGCAATGAAAACCTGGACAAAATAGATATGTCTTTGGGTAAGAGGACGAGTTGGACGGAGTTGGAGCGTGTGTGCGGATGGAACCAAGTGGCGCGGTTGGCGGGGGCAGGGGGCGGTTGGCCGCAGTTGCCAAGTGAGTTTGGCGGGTGGGCGGAACCAAGTGTGGGGGGGATTTGCGGGGGCAGGCGGGGCGCGGGTACCCCTCCGCGGAGGCCGCGTCTGTGGTGGACGGGCTGTGTGGGGCCGTGGGATCCGGAGCGTGGACGGGCGTGGGGCCTGCTCTTCCCCAGAGGGGCGCTACCACTGGCTCTTTGTAAAGGAAACCCCGCCGGGTTCCCTGGAGCGGGTTCACCCTGGGCGTTATCCCGTGCGGGAGTGCTGGTTGGACTAGCCCTTCTTCCTGAAGGAAGGTCTCCGGAGCGCGATCGGTTGCACCAGGGGTTATCCCGGGGCTTGCGGGGCGTTCCTGGGCCCAGACCTATGCGGGCCTCCCTGGAGAACCCCTGGGGACGCCGGCCAAGAGCGTCTGTCAGAAAGAAAACATCAGGCCGGGACCGCATCCGCGCTTTATTAGGCGGTGTCTAGAAAAGCACACTCTTCCCCCAACCCAGCCTCAAAGTTAGCTCTTTGGACGGGAGGTAGGAAAGCGGCAAAAGCCGAGGGAGGGATGTAGGATTTACGTGGATCGCAGAGGGGCCTGGTACAGCCCGGGGTCCCACTAGCACATTTAAAGAAGGGTGCAGTGGTTTCATACGGGTTGTATAAAAAGCTGGAGGATTTTTGATTCTGTGTAATTGTCTGATCTAACACTACCTAGGCACTAGACGCAGTGTTTGCCTTAGCTGGTCCAAAAGCAGTTGGTTTTTGTGGAAAGTCAAGTCAGGGTATTGGATGTAGCAGTTTGCCTGCCCCTTGTCTTTGCGGCTTTTCAGCTATTTGGAAAGTAAATGTCTAACTAGGGGATTCAGAGGCGTTACCTTTTCGAGGATAATATTGCAAAGCTCCAAAAAAATGGGGAAATCTTGAGCTTAAGCCAAGAAATCATATAACAATTAATTTTTATTGAATGTTTACTACCTGTCAGGCACTGAATCAAACATTTTACATGTTAATCCTCTTTATCTTCATAATGCCTCCCCCTCCTCCCCTAGTGATAAATATCTTGGAATCCAGAGTCACACAGTTAAATTGTCAATGCTGCTTTTGTAAGAATGAGACTTTAACAAATGTTTATATCCCTCACAGGTTTGCTGTGGAGTATTGAATTAAGCATATGCAAACTGCTTTGAACAGTACCTAGTACACAAGCACTGGGAATTATTTTCACACACACACTGTTATCCTCATTTTACCAAAACCTGAGACAAAAAATTAAAAAAAAAAGTTCAAAAAAATCATGTAGCTGATGAATGGTGGAGTCAAGATTCCCATTTGGCCCCCAACTATAGATGTAGGGAAGTGTTAAACATGTTTTGTTCTTGTTTTGCCCTGGGAATTGAACTCCGGGCCTCCAGCATACTACTACTACTGGAACCATGCCCCAGTCCTTTTGCTTTGAGCTTTTGAGTTTGCTTTTTAGATAGGGTCTCTAACTTTCTTTGCCTGGACTGACCTGGAACCCCAATCCTCCTATTACACTTCCCTGAGAAGGTGGGACCACAGGCTAGCATCACCACACCCATATATTTTCATAACCAATACACTTCTTAGGCTCCTAGGTCTTTTGTATGTATTTTCCTTTTAGGTAATTAGGATGTTTAAGTGAAGAAAACTGAAGGATAATTCTCTTTGAGGTAGAAATGAAGTGCTGTAGAGAGCTAAGATAGTTTGATCTTTTTTTTTTTTTTCTGCCCCAAGAACAGGAAGCAGTCTGTCAGATACTTTTCTTACAGAGATAAGAGGCAGAGATACTCTTTTTTTGGACAGCTATTATGCTTTATGCTTTGTGAATATTTCATCTTATCAGCTCTGTGGGTTTTAGAACCTGATTTTTCTGGGTTTTGTTATAAATTGTGGCTCTACTAGTTTTATGTAAGTATTTATATATTCGTGTAGAGTATCTCCCAAGTTCACTAATAGCTGGGCTTATCATGACTCAGTTTCTTAATTTGAAAATGAGCATTAGGATAATACTTTTTTTCATAGGATTATTCTTAGAATTAATTGTATATACATCAAAATAATGCCTACTAACCATCAATTCTTGGAGGAAGTAAGTCATGGGAGGGTTCCTTTCAAAGATATGTTTGTCCCCCTCTTTCCTCTCTTCCTCTGCTTCCTGGCTGTTCTGTGGTGAGTAGTTTCCTCTCCCTTACCCTTCCATCATGATGCTCTGCCTTACCACAGACTCATAAAGACAGATTAGTCCAACTGACCATGGACTGAAACCTTTGAAATCATGAGCCAAAACAAACTTTTGCTGTATTTACATTATTTCTCTTCGGGTTATTATTATTACTGTTGTTGTCCCTCCTCCTCTTTCTCCTCCTTTTTTTGTTTAGCTCCCCTCCCCACTGAGACTTAAACTCAGGGTCTGATGCTTTCACTCAAAGGCTGGTCCTTTACCACATGAACTATGCCTTCAGTATCTTGTTGTTTTTTAAATTTTTTTGGTTGGTCATGGGGCTTGAATTCAGGGCCTGGGCACTGTCCTGAGTTTTTTTGCTCAAGGCTAGCACTCTACCAGGTTGAGCCATTGCACCACTTCCAGGTTTTTGGTGGTTAATTGGAGGTAAGAGTCTCATGGACTTTGCACCCAGGCTGGTTTTGAACCCCAATCCTCAGTTCTCAGCCTCTTGAGTAGCCAGGATTATAGAAGTAAACCACCAGCACCTAGCTTTTTAATTTTTTTTTTTTTTTTTGGTTGGTCCTGGAGCTTGAACTTGGGGCCTAGGCACTGTCTCTGAGCTCTTTTGCTCAGCTAATGCTGTACCATTTTGAGCCACAGTGGCACTTCCTTAATTTTTTCTATTATAAAGGTGATATACAGAGGGGTTATAGTTACATAAGTAAGGAATACATTTGTTGGTCAGGTGCTGGTGATATATGCCTGTAACCCTAGCTACTCAGGAGTCTGAGATCTGAAGATCTAGATTCAAAGCCAGCCAGGTCAGAAAAGTACATCAGAGTCTTACCTCCAATTAACCAGTAGAAAACCAGAAGTAGAGCTGTGGCTCAAAGTGGTAGTATACTAGCTTTGAGCAAAAGAGCTCAGGGACAGTGCCCAGGCCCTGAGGTCAAGCCCCAAAACTGATTTTTTTGGGGGCTTGACCTCAGGGCCTGGGCACTGTCCCTGAGCTTCTCAGTGCTCAAGGCTAGCACTCTACTTCGTGAGCCACAGCACCACTTCTGGCTTTTTCTGTGTCATATGGTACTGAGGAATTGAACCCAGGGCTTCATGCATGGTAGGCAAGCACTCTACCACTAAGCCACCTTCCCAGCACTGATTTTTTTTTTAAAGTACATTTCTTTTTAAATAATGTCACCCCTTTCCTCACTCTCTCCCAGTTTTTCCTTCTTGTCTCCACTTATATAAGTTGTATAGTTCATTTTCAACATAATGTCTACTGAATACCACTACTGCATTTGTTCACCCTTTGTTTCTCCCTTATATTTTTTTTGGTCAGTCGTGGGGCTTGAACTCTGGGCTTGGGCACTGTCCCTCAGCTCTCCAGTTCAAGGCAAGCGCTCTACCACTTAAGCCACAATGCCACTTCCCGTTTCTAGTGGTTTATTGGAGATAAGAGTCTCACAGACTTTCCTGCCCAGGCTGGCTTTGAACCTCGATCCTCAGATCTCAGCTTCTGAGTAGCTAGGATTACAGGTGTGAGCCACTGGAGCCCGTTTTCCCTTGTTTAGTTATTGAGACAGAATTTCACTTGTTGCCAGGATGGCTCCAAATTTTGTTCTTCCTGCCCTCATCTTTCTAAGTATATGCTGAGATTATAGGCATATACAACCATGGCCAGTTCTTTTATTTATTTATATTTTACTTTATTTTTATGTTGGTACAGGGACTTGAATTCAGGGCCTTGAGCACGCTTAGCTTACTTGCTCAAAACATGACCTCCAGTCGTGTTTTGCTGGTTATTTTGAAGATGGAGTATCAAGGACTTTGGCTTTGCACCCTGTGATCCTAACCTCCTGAGTAGTTAGTAATACAGCCACCAGTGCCCAGCTTTAAAAAACATACGAATTATATTGACATAAATTATTTGTGCTTAAGACAGTTTGGAAGAATGATAGAAGTTAAATTTTGTTAGGAAATTGTTGACTTGCAATTTCTCTGGTTTGCTTTATCAATCATCAGTATTAATATTTGAGTTAATTTTATAGGGGGAGTTTAGATTTTTTTAAAATTTTTTTTGGGGGTCCGGTTGAGGGGCCTGAACTCTAGGCCTGGGCGCTGTCCCTCAGCTCTTCAGCTCAAGGCTAGCGTTCTACCACTTGAGCCACAGTGCTACTTCCAGCTTTTTTCTTTTTGCTTATGTGGTGCTGAGGAATCGAACACAGGGCCTCATGCATACAAAGCAAGTGCTCTAGAACTGAGCCACCTTCCTAGCCCTGGATATTCTTAAAAAGAGTATTGTTGGCCTTAACTAATCTTTAGCGGATAAAAATAGGAACCTGGAGTATGTTTAGTTTTCTCATCTTCATATTCTCTTGCAATATCAACACAGTGTGATGTGTATGATTTTTCAGGAAGTGTTTTTAGAAAAGAGGCTTACAAAATTACAGAGATAAGCATGGAGATAAGAATAGAAAAGAACAACTTTGCTAGGGGACAAGTAGTTTTTAGTGTTCTATTATTATGGTACATGTTTATTTTTGTGTTGGCCATGCATTTTTTTTTTTTTTTTTTGTCTCTCATAGGGCTTGAACTCTGGGCCTGAACGCTGTCCTTCAGCTCTTCAGCTCAAGGCTTAGCGCTCTACCACGAGAGCACTGGGCCATTTCTGATTTTCTGAGTGGTTTATTGGAGATAAGAGTCTCATGGACTTTCCTGCCTGGGCTGTCTTTGAACCATGATCTTCAGAT